CGAACGCTGCAGCTCCGAGTCCGTACAGGCATCTCTTCCGGGATGAGACCCCGCTGAGCGAAGTCTTGGAGGCAATTCGCGAAGAGCAGGGGAGGTCCGGAGTGACTCCCGAAGATGTGGAACCACCTCCTCCGGCGTTTCCTGACGAGCTCTTGGAGCCTCAGGATCCGGACGTGGACGCGCCGCGTGAGGATACGCCACGCGAGCACGTCCGCGAGATGAAGGAGGCCTTCGGGGACCTCATCTGGGAGTCTCTCCCTGGGCTGAGAGAAGAGAAGCTAGCCGCGGGTGTTTTAAACCCTGTGGCCAAGCAAACCGACACCCAACTGGAGATAGATCCCCCTCTTCGGGAAACGGATCTGCTCCCTAGAGAAAAGGGGGGTGTCCAGAGGACTGGAGCCCCCGATCCTCGTTGGGGCGCGGAACCCCAGGTGAGTAGCCCGAAGAAAAAGGCTCCACCGGTGATGCGCTCTGAGGATGAGGAGATGCCTCCCGCTCCTCCTGTTGCTTCTGAAGAGGCTTCGTCCTCGTCAGCTGCACCTGCGGCCAACGCGACTTCCCCAGCCGAGGCGGGGAGTCCGGGGGTCCGGATCCTGGCGGAGTCCATGAAGGCAGGATTGGCACGCGAGAGAGCGGCGGGACGCGCCAAGGAGGAGCTAGCTGCTTCGGCCCGGGAGGCCGCGGCCGCGGCTCCCGAGGCACGGCGCGACACCCGCCTTCCTCCGGTTTCTCAGGAGGAAAAGGAGGCGTCGGAGGCTAAGTCTCTCGCCTCCCTCAAGCGCGCCGTCGAAGAGAGCAGCGGGAGCGCTGAGCGACAGGGGCCTGCTGCTAAGCGGGCCACCACCAAGAAGGAAGAAGTGCCCTCGGCACCAGCCGGCCCTGCAGGAGCCGCGGCCGGGACAGGCGCGGCTCCCTCGTCTAGTGGCGAGGCAGGTGCCGAAGAAGGTGCCAGCGGGGCCGCTGCTCCGTCGAGCACAGACAAGCGGCGACCCGCGGAGCCGGAGGGACCGCCGCCGCCCAAGAAGCGATTCACAACATGGCAGGATACCATGGAGTCGCCGGCTACCCAACACCGAGTTTCGGGGGTTTACGGACTCTCGAACGAGGTTCCCGGGGCCGATTGGCGCGACGTGGACTGGGATGCGACTCCACCGCCGGGGCCTGGAAGGCCCGGCGCCCGCGACGTGGATCCCAGGCTCACGGTCCCCCTTGATCTCAAACATGATGAACAGATCAGGGAATTCTTCCGAGGCGGTGGTGAGCATACGCTCGAGCAGCTCCTCGCGTTGGCGCGGCGCCGGAGGCGCGCGTTCGTCTACCAGGCTGCGATTTTATCCAACAGGCCAGTTTTCGAAATCTGGCCCGACTACGATGAAAACGAGCTTGGTCCGACACCTGACCGCCTTCCGCTCCTTACGGGCAAGGTCTGGCCTTGGGGCTGGTGGGACTGCTTCCAGTGTGGGCGTGCCAACCCACCGGACCGCAACACCTGCCGGCACCATGATGCCGAGGAGTTCGGAGCACCCCGGTGGACCTGCGAACGGCGCCGGGGTGGTTCATCGAGGTCTGGCTCGATGAACATAAGGAACGTGTAAAGGAGTACCTTTATACGAAGCGGTCGGACGCGATCGCCGCCGCAATGTCCAACGCCTACTGGACCTGTGGGCGGGATACATGCCAAGAGCGGAATATGTTGTGGCGTAAACTGTGCTTTAAGTGCAGTTCTAGTAAGTCCGCAGCAAGCTACATAACGCACGGCATGCCGCCCGAGGAAGGCGACGAAGATGATGGCTCTTCGTCCGAAGAGAGCGAGGGCACTAGGATGGAGCGGATCGAAAAATCCATCCATGCCGACCCCCTTGCGGAGCACGCGAGGAAGTTCCTCCGCTCCGGGCGGAAGAGGCTCCGCGCTGAAAAGCGCAGGCAGGCAGAGCTCTCCAACGACTCTGCCCGCGCCTGGTGGAGCCAGCCTTCCTCCGGACGCGGTGCACCCAGTGGGGGCCGCGGCTCCGGTAGCAAGGGTGGAAGGGGAGGCTCGAACCGGACCGGTAATCGAGGATGGTGGGCAGGAGGTGCCGCCGGTCTGGCGTATTCCTCCAGGTTCGGGGAGCGTGCTGTGCATGCGTGGCCCGGGTGGCCACAGAGTGGCGCCTGAGGTTCCCGCCTTGCCTCCCCGCCCCGTGACCTCCTCTACGCCTTCGAACCGAAGTGGGTTCCTCGGTGCCGTGCGCTCTATCGGCGCGGCGGTCACCAGTTGGGCTCTCTCGAGAAGAGCGCGCAATCGCGCAGCCCACGCGACGACAGGCAACATAGGATGGAAGATGGATTTGGTGGCCGCTGCGCTGGCGCCTACCCTCTTCACTGTTGAGCGCGGTGCCAGAGACCCTGCCAGAGAGGTGGCACACGTGAGCCTCACTGCAGTTGCCACTGCGGCGGAGGACCTCATCGAGGAATCCTCTGGTATCCTCGTTCATGGTGTCCGCGTGGTTGGCTTGACGGCCGTCGTCCTACTGTGGACGTTCGCGGCAGTAGTGCTGTGGTGGGCCGGACGTGTCGCCACTAACCGGCTAATGCACGCCATGAACGGTAACCCCTTTGGGGATGCTGTTCTGGTGTCGCTCGAAGGCCGGGAGGCCGTCTTTGAGGTAGCCTCGAAGACTAAGGCCGGAGCACACAGAGTCCTGGTGAAGATCGGGTCGGGCGCGGACGGCGCAGGCTGCGACTGCAAGGCATTCCTCAACGAGGGACGTTGCGGTCACATAGAACGCGCTGTTGAAGCTGCGGGGCAACTCGTGGCCGTGACAGGCGCGAGCGCTGCCCCAACGCTGTCCGTCGCCCCGGCCGCGACTAGGCGCGCCCGTGCGATCCTCGGCCCGCCGGCCCTGGAACAGGGGTGCCTTTCCGGCATGGTGTCAAAAGCGAGGTCGCTTTCGGAAAGAGCCCGGAATGTCGGCAACCCGTCTGAGGGTTGCCTTGACGGCATTACCAGGCTCAGAGGCCGCCAGGAGGTGGCCACAGCGTCGGCGCCTCCGACAGATCCCCGCCAAAGTACCTCTGCAGCGTCTCCGGCCCTGACAGCTCCCATGTCGAGCCAGGCACGGCGTGTCAGAGACTTCCCGATCCCTGACGGCTTCGAGCGAGCCGGGGTCAAGTTTCTGACCCTTCCGGAGTATCACGCTGTGGTACAAATGATGCTATCGGACGCTGGGCATGGGGACCACGTTTACGTGCGAGCCTACAGCTTCGATAGCAAGCCCTTGGTAGGAGCCCTCGTGTCCTCGCTGGAGCGAGGCGCCCGAGCTCACGTACTTGCCGACAACTCGCAAACGAGCCGGACCAAGCTCCAGCTGCAGTCCCTCAAGGAGCTAGGGGCGGCTGGCGTCCAGGTCCGTGTTGGCAAGGGTACCTCAGTTAAGGCGGCTTACGCCGCCGAGAACCGGACGGACGTGAGCATCGGCGCGGGCCTCGCGGGCATCCACCACGCCAAGACGGTGCTCGCGACGAGGCCGGACTCCACAGTTAGCGCCGTGATAGGAAGCCTAAACTTTAGTGCTAGTTCACGGGCCAACGCGGAGGTCGGCATCGCGGTCGCCAGTGTGCTGACCTCTGAATTTAGCCAAAAGTGGCTAGATTCGTTTGGCACCGAGTGGTCCAAGGCGCTGAAGCTCGAGGAGTTCGAAGCGCCGCAGCGGAACCACCGCGGGCGGGCAAAACCCTCAAATGTCCAGCAGCCCGCCGCGCAACCCAATGTGGAGCCGCAGTGACCGTGGACTAGAAGTCGCGGACTGCGCTCCGCCCTTCTAGCCACCTGTGGCAACTTCAGTTTTGGTCGCAGCACCTAGCTGCTTTCCGATGAGACGACAGGGTGGCGTATCCGCTCTACAGGTCTTTGACGGGAGCGGCTAGGGAGGCACGGTAGTGCTCCCGAAGCGCGTAGAGTAACGCCGCAGCTTCAGCTGCTTGTTTCACCAGCCCTGTGGCCGCAGTGCGGCGCAGGCTGTGTACAGTAGGAAACCAGAGCCTCGTGCAGCACAGGCCGTGAAAACGAAGGTCTTGTGCTGAGTGCGAAGGGTTTGTAGGAGGGCAGGGTCTGTAGGTCAGTTTTACGGCCTCCGGCCGCCCGCGGAATCCTACGGCTCTATCGTGCTCTAGGCTGAGGGGCGAATGTAACTGTACATAGTCTGCGGGCTGGCTGTTGTGCTGTATGCTTTTATGCATGCTCTTCTGTAATTCGTATTCATAACATTTTTGGCTCAAGTGAGCACGGCAGTGTGTCGTAGTAGCTTTTCGTTGCCGCGACGCAATTGCGCGCAGCCCGTCCTGGGCGGACGTTCGACCTGTCACGGTCGTTGAACTTGTGTTTGACGGAAAACAAGGGTGCGTGCTGCCCCTTTGGGTTCCGTTCTTTACAACTACCTACTACCTACTACCTACTACCTACTACCTACTACCTACTACCTACTACCTACTACTGCTGCTGCTACTGCTGCTGCTACTGCTACTGCTACTGCTACTGCTACTGCTGCTACTACTACTACTACTACTACTACTACTACTACTACTACTACTACTACTACTACTACTACTACTACTACTACTACTACTACTACTACTACTACTACATTACTAAGGACCCTAAACTACTCCTTATTATGGGTAATATTTCTATCATCAACCGTACTACTACTACTACTACTACTACTACTACTACTACTACTACTACTACTACTACTACTACTACTACTACTACTACTACTACTACTACTACTACTACTACTACTACTACTACTACTACTACTCCTCGTCGTCGTCTAGGTGGCGGTGGTAGCAGCAGCAGCAGCAAGAGCACTTGTAGTCGTCGTCGTCGTGGCGGTGGCGGTGGTGGTAATGGCACTGGTAGTGGTACTGGAAGTGGTCGTGGTAGTGTTGGGTACTAGTACCAGTTGTGGTACCAGAACTAGTCTAGTAGTCGTTGTGGTGGGGTGGTAGTGGTCGCAGTGTTATCCGAGCAGCGGGTGCCTCCGCACGCTGGCCGCCGATGGCCTTCTGTCCAGCTCCTTGGGCGGCCAGGAGATGTTCGGCCAGCGAAGAAACTGCGTCGACTGATTGGGGAACTCTGCTTAGGCCGTGTATGCCTGAATCTCTTTTGTTCGACTTCGACCCTGAGAACGGATCATTTGAAGCCGCATCGTTGCGATGCAGAAAACTGAGGGAAGCTGCATCCCTGAATCTTGCATCATAGAATCCTTCTGGAGAAGACCGTCCAAGAGGTTGCAGAGTTCTCCATTGAGCAGCGCAGCACCAGGTGTTTCCGCTACTAAGCACCGCAAGTCTATCGGCTCTGTAGATGCCAGCCATCCTCAGTGAATCACTTGTCTCCACTACTGCCGGTACTGCTCGGGTACAGGGGCTGAAGTTCTGAAGTTCCATGCCAGCGAGCCAGCGAGGTCGCATGCGCTATGTACGATGCGCATACGAACAGGTTGCCAAGTCACGATACCAGCCTTCGAAGGGAGTGGCATCGGCGAACAGGTCCACAAGGTCCAAGGAGGCCTTTAAGACCAATTCTTCTCGTGTGATGAGGAAAAAACTCAATGACACATGCACGATTCGGTGGCAAGATGGCCTTTGTCTCTGCAAAGCAACAGCCCTGGACCAAAACGTCGAGGAGCACGACCTTGAGATCCGGACATGTTCTAGGGGAGGCTCCGGGGTACAAGGAAGGACAGGTTGGACAGATGTGCTTCGGCAAGGCGGGGCCCCGGCTCCAGCCGCCCAGAGATCCATGGCCGGGCGAGCCCGGAGCGGCCAACGGAGCGGACCCAGATTCGCTTCGCTCTCTTCCAAGGCGGCTTCAGCCAATTCTGGGCTGCAGTACAAAGGCGTGAAGCCGTCCAGTGGCACCACGTCGCCCACAGAAAGGCAACTTCCCAAGTCGATCAGCTTCCAGAGCGACCCAAAGCGCATGATGTTGTCAGGCTTAACATCCAAGTGCACGAAGCCGAGGCCATGCAAGAACTCCAAGGCTGCGAGAAGGGACCTGGCAATTTCGATGAAATTTGCCATCCGGATAAAGCCAGTCGTTCGCAACCACGTGTCAAGACTTTCATGTCCGAGCTCCAAGATCATGTAGAATCTGCCGTCCTTTTCCGGACCCGGAGTCTCAGCTTGATTTCTGGAGTAGTCTAGGAGATTCACAAACAGCCGCCGCGGATTCTCCACATGACCAGGCCCACCAGGCCCATCAGGCCCACCAGGCCCCAGGCCTAAGACTTTGAACATGGCCACTTCCTTCTGGTAGCGTTCTTGCTGTTCCTGGCTCTGGCTCGTTGATGATTTGACCCGGAAGGCCTTTACAGCAACAGAGGAGCCATCGTAGGCCAGCGCCTTGTAAACGACGCAAGAGCTACCTTCACCGAGCAATCCATCGGCACTGTTGCCCCTTCCTTCGTCTCACCACTGTTTCACCGGAAGCAAAACAAAACTTTCCAACCCTAGGCCTTCCTAGAAACCGCTTGGTGCCCTGCTTTGCAAACTCATGTCACGGCCATGTCACGATAGCGTTCCAGCAAGGGCGTCGAAGTCGCAAGAGACGGCTGCATAAGTAGTGCGAAAGGCTTTCACGGAGCGTGTAGACATGGGAGCCCAAGGGCAGGACATGCTGCACTTCTTCACAGATTCACAGACGCTGCTCCCTCGGACTGTCGATGCTGCCTCTAATGCTGCTACACTTGCTGAAGCTGCGGCTGTTCCCGATGTACCTCCGTGTCTCTGTCTCGCTGTCGCTCTCTCTCTGTTTCTCTCTTAAGGTCTCAGACACATGCTGTGTGTGAAAGGTACAATATTGCAATATGGTACAAACATCTCCGTTCCGCTTTCCTTGCACAATGAACTGCACCAGCGATGATGATGATCTGCTGTCAAGCATGGCTGAAGCCAGCACAGTGTCAGCGCAGCAACAAAGACAAGAGCTGAAGGCGGGATTTGCGCGATGATGGCGCACCCAGGTATTCTCGAAGTCTGACGGGAATAGAAGCGCTGCCACACGAAGCAAGAAGGACGCCTCAAAGGTGACATATGACGATCTGGGATTCTCACGGAAGCAGCCTCAACCAGCCGAATGCAGTGCAAGCTAAGGCTGGCACTATACGCAGCAGGCAATATGAGTCGGCTGCAGCGTAGATCACCTCGCTGTGTAGCACCAGCAGCCGCTACGGTAGTCCAGATCCCGCACAATGCAGCACAATGCAGTGCCTGGACAGGCACAAGCGGGCGCCGCCGCCAATCAGAGCATTGCAGTCGCGACTTAAGATCCGCCGAAGCGTGCACGTTGCAAAATGTGGACCTCACTCCATTCCAGAGCGACCTAGTGCCCACTGCACAGTCTCGAGAACTATGCGACTATCCGCCGCGTCAATACATCTGCCTGGGTCTCCGGCCATTGATCTGTCAACTTTTGGATGGGGCAGCCAAGAAAGTGCGCCAAAGCCTCCACTGGCAAAGTTAATCTACACAATATAGAAGCACAGATCACAGATGCAATTCGTCTCGTGCTGCCTGAGTGTCGAGCGTGCACCTGAACGGCATTTGTGCTCATTGCTGCTCCATTACACGGCGAGACTCCAACTCTCGCGACCCCTGTCGGCCTGAGGCCAATCGAGAATTCCTTCGTGTCGCTCGGCGCATGGAAATGCAAACAGAAGAAGCGGCTCGCTCCACCTCATTCCAAATTCCGTTTAAAGTTCTGATGCCGTCCGTCCTCGCGCAACCACGAAATGTCGTTGGCTGCTGCATGGAAGACCTTCTGTCGCTGGAGCATGCACCGTATGCCGCAAACGTGCTGCGCATCTCTCCATCCCTTTCCCTCGTGCCTTTAGGATGCCGGGGTCTTCCAAGACCTCCCAGGAGGCTCCAGAGGCAATGGCTCATCCGGTCATCAACCCTCACCCATGCCTCGCCGAGACAGCGCTTGACCTGCCGCTTCTCTCGCTACGATCGCAAAAAAATTCCGATGGCTAGGGTTGGCGACCTGATTGGCTCGCTAGTTCCGAGAATATCCGAGAATGCGTTTGTTGGAAAATCTTTCTGGCGCAGTTCTTTTAACGGAAACGAACGAAACAGACGTTGCATCCTCCCAGCAGCGCACAGGCTGTCGGCCCAAACGATATCTTCACTCGCATGGAGAATCCAATTTGGGCAAGGAGCAAGGACCGTTGCCGTCCCTTCAGTGCTGGCGCTGTCCCGTGCCATCTTGGAAAGCCCAAGCTCACAGATGCCCAACACCCACCTGCTCATGCGAGAAACGCAGGCTGTCCACCAGGAAGGCCTTGCCACCGGCCTTCAAGCACGCACCACTGCAGCAACAGTTGGCTCACGATGCTAAGTCATGCAATCGCTTAGCACTGCTGAAGGCAGAGCTAGCGCGAGTAAGTATAGACTAGAGTCTAGAGCATATCTAGAGCATCCAAAGCAAGCAGTCAGCAACCAGTGCCGATTGTGCCGATGAACATGCCTTTGCGGTGGAGACTTGGATCAAACACACATAGCCTGCAAGAGCAAGGGGTGAACATGGCGCTGGATGCTCTGCTCACCGCTTCGCACTGACCTTTGTAGGATTCTAGCCAATGTCGCTCAACCTCGATAGAAGGAAATCGTAAGGCCGTAATCGTAAGGAAAGCTCAGCGTCTCCGGGGCCAAAGCATCCACAGCCAGGACGGAGCTGCTAGACAGGACACCGGCGCAGCACTGAAGAGCCTCCAACGTGTCGACCTCTGAACGTGAACCCAAGTGCAAGTGCCACAGCAAGCAACAGCAAGCAACAGCAAGCAAGCATGAAGTTGGGCCCCGCACAACTTCGATGGACTCTGCGCTCAATGGCCGACAAGTCTCCAAGTCGGGTGCCTTGTGCGAATCGACACACCATTGAGATGCATGGCAAGGGCGCAGCGAAGCCGCCGACGCCTTCAGGCCCAGCACGTGCGTCCTTGTTCCACAGCTTCTGCCCTTGCAAGCGACTCCCGGGCTCGCGGGCTGAAGTTCTCCAAAGATGCCCAACCATGCCTTGTATCCATTCAGGGCACGCCGCAGTTCATCGATCTGCATGCCAGATTATGATCATGTGCACGTGGACTCTGAAACGGACTTGCTTCTGCTCCAGCTAGAAGTGGTATCCATCCACAGCCTATCCTAGCCCTCCAGAACGTGCACAGACAACGCATAGCTTGAGCCAGACAACACAGCACAGGGGACTTTGCACTTCGCGGGAAACGATGTCTCTCACTTCTCCAGATCTCCTTCGTGCTCTGCTCTCTCTTTCTGTGGGACTTTTACGCCCCTGATCTCGGACATCGAAGACCGGCAAGTTGATCTTCTGTCAGGCCGATCTCCCAGCCTTTGATGCCTTTTCCGTCTCACCTGGCCTTGCCGCTGGTGATGGCTTTGACATAAGATGCCTCAGTCTCAAGAGATTCGCGGCTACAGCTTGTGTGCTTGTCAGAAGAGGTCCCAACCCACGAGTCTTAAACTGCTTGCCCACTGGTGGATTGGAAACGGCCTATGCACTATTTCAGGAGGGTCATACTTCACCGGTGATGGGAGCACATCGCCTTCACGACTATGATGGCGAGGTTTTAGAGGCAACATGCTCGCGAGTCTAGGCCAATCTTCTGTTGCAAACATCCACCTGGGTGTAGAGAACGCATCAACAACTGCAAGCTGAAGTTCCGAAGGTTCTGGCATGGCAATGTCTATCATTGCTGTCCGATTTTTGGAGGAGGTCGCCAAGGGTATCTTGCAGCAAGGCACGCAGACTTTTGCCACATCCCATTTGTAGTCGGGGAGGACAGCTTGGAAGCGGTAGACATAATAGAGCACCTGGAGCGGCACCAGTGGCTAAACTCACTTTTCATGAAGCTTTTCCAATGCACACAGGCCAGGCTTGGCACCCAGGAACAAGTCACCAGGATCAATAGGAAGGACCTCTGAACAGCTCACGGCGAGCTTGCAAAAACAAATGGACATCGGTCACTTCGTGCCGAGCCACGAAAGGAAGACGCGGTAGTTGGCAGGCTCTCTCCTAGAAGGCAAGGATCAGCTGTCATCCTCAACGAATACAGAAGAAGCATTCTGCCAAGATTCTTTTGCCATGGCTGAATGAGGGTGTTCTGCGTCGCACGCTTGTTTCTATCAGGTACCACACCTGCATACAGGGTGTCCTTAAGAAGAAGGATGAACTCGAGCGCCACCTCGCTGGATGTGTCAGTTCGCTGAGTTCTAGCACTGCTGAAGTAGCAAACGTCTGCACAGCTCCAAGGTAAGCCAAGGCGCAGCATTGAGCAACAAGTCTCCGAAACTTGGAGTGGCCGCAAGCCAGCGGCACCCCAGCCACAACAGATAAACATTTATCAGGTAGCGTGGAACAATGCAAGATGCCATCAGCACGGCTTTGAGCGTGCCAGTCAAGCCAACGACCACTTCACATTCTCCCTCTCCTTCGACGACAGCATCACGCATTGATGAGATCCTGCTCGCCAAAGACATGATGAGGCCATGCTCGTTGACTCTTTTTACTTTGCTAGGAGTATTCCTTGTCACTTTCTAGTTGCTCTGTGGCACTATGGCGCTAAAGCGAAAGGCTACAGCAGGATGCTGATCTACTAATGCCCTTCAAGCTTCGTTGGGGTAGCCAAGATCAGGCGGACAAATAGATCTCCACATCGTCGCAAGTCTGCCACAACTGTCAGCGTCCAGATGAACCTTTGCAGCTGAAAAACTGGTGAAACACATGGCGAGCACTTCAATTCTCAGCCGGGCGGCAGGATTGGCAGCAAAAGCTGTGGCTGCGAGAACCTGGTATGGCTAGCTTTTAGAACGTCTACACGCCTAGTTGCAGAAAGGTTTTTTAGGCATTCTTCCAGTCCCAGACACGGAATTCTGCATGCAGAAGCCTGCTCGCTCTCGGTTAGCCGGCCGAAGTTTGCCGCGTCAAAATATGTTGGATCCACTCCGCGTGGGAAGCCGTTTTCTGTTAGGTAGATATGAGACATGTCCGCGCCATACATGACAAACTCATAGCGTCCATAGATCTGCCGGATTTCGGTGACTGCTCGGCTCGCCACCAGCTTCTGCATCTGCAGAATAATGAATATCTGCAGAAAAACCACGAAGAGCATTAGCAAAAACGAGCTGGATAACCGCGAGATCCGAAGAAAGAGGCTTCCCTTTCCCTCTATCAGACTGTAGGAATCTCTGACCAAGGTCGCAACCCCTGCACCATAGACATCTTCGTCCAAATTCTCGGGTTCTCGGTCAACAACTTCGAGGTCGTTTGAAGGATGGCGCCTCTCATAGTACCGCAAAAGCACCACTGCCGCCAGGCCCATAATGAAGGACCCTGGAGCAATGACTCCCAAGACGTAGGCTTCTGGTCCAAAGGTTGGTTTTGCTGGCAGAGGAGGCTTGGATGATGGCTCGACTGCCAAGGCACGCGAATGTTCATGCTTTTTCAGAAACTCCGACCCTGTCTGAGCGAGCAGGGACAGAAACAGAACGACGCCATGCGCAACCTTCATTGCTACTTCACTGCTGGTATCTGATTCAAGAA